ACCACCTGCTGTGTTTTACAAGGTAGTAATAATCATCGACCTGGTTGAACACGACAGTACCATAAAGGGTGGTCCACATGACAGGCCCCACGCTTCATTATGTGGTAGAATAGTACAAGCAAAGTAAAGAAAGGTGTCTGTGGACGACCCTTTACATTCTAAAAGACAATTCTGCCGTTGTCTGGTGGGTTCTGATCCGGTCGAGCCTGAAAAGTTTCGTTACCAGAAAATTTGTCAAAATAAAGCGCATGCACGTCCGTATGTACAGCAGTATAACTAAACCGGGGCCGGAGAGACAACCTGTTTGTAACGTCTTTCGTTTTGCCTCGCCTCTTGATTAACGCGCACTGTAAAAATTCTTTGTCACGATGACGAAAATATCATGGTGACGAGAAAACCTTAATCATGTGACGAAAAAACCCATGACGACACCCCTGTACTAAAAATTAGCCATGGTATTTTCGTAATCGTGACAAAGAATTTTTACAGTGGTGTCGCAGTACTGAAAAGGGAACTTCTTTCTTAATGATTGGTTAATGCTAAACTGAGAGTCATGGGTCTCACCTTTGTGCATCTGACTTTCGTGCTTCCTGCACTTGGCCCTCCGGTTCTGGAACCACACCTGTAAGCAAAGGAGAAGCCAGGGGATCAACATTCACTTCCTGCTTCCACGTAATAGGGAGGGTCAATTAATTTCCATCAAGTAGCTCTTAGCGGCGCGCTCCTCGTTCCGACCTCTCTCGCTCTATCTTGCTCTCTCTCTCTCTCTCCCCCACCCTCTCTCTTCCTAACCCGTCTGGCCCCGCCCCCGTGCAGGTCCTGCCCCTCCCCTGCCCTCGCCGGATAACGAAGCAGAGGGCTCTGGGGAGCCTCCCTGGGGTGGAAGCGTTGAGGCGCCAAGTGTTTCCTGCCGGAATTACGTCGCCCGTTTGGCGGTCGGCGTCCTCAAGGGCTGCTCACCTTTGCGCCACCTGCACCTCCTCCTGGTCGCCGACCTCCTCCAAGGTTGCTCTCCCCTCAAAGGTTATTCTCCTCTGTGGGGCCGCTCAGCCGCTCACCTTCGCGCCACGAACACGAAGCACCGACCTCCTCAAAGGTTACTCTTCTCTATAGGGCCGCTCACCTTCCCGCCACGAAGTACCGACCTCCTTCTCTAAGGCTGCTCTCCCCCTCCATAGGTCTGCTCACCTGCACCCGCACAATTGTGTGTATTGGTTTTCAATGCTCCGATGTGGGGTCGGGGGGGACCCTGGACCTCCGCGACGACAGGCTCCGACCCTGAGCGAGCCGAAGGCCACCCCCATCCCCCCCCCC